CCAGGGATGGGGCAGCCACAGCTTCTCTGGGCACCCTGTGCCAGCACCTCAACACCCTCACAGGGAAGGGGCTTCTGCCTTATCTCCAACCTGAATTCCCCTGTTAAAGTCTGAACCCATCACCCCTTTTGCTCCAGTCCCTGATGAAGGCCCCTTTCCAGCCTCCTCATAGCCCCCTTCAGACACTGGAAGGAGCAAAGCAGCATCTATGGAGCCTGGACAGCACCAAGCACTGTTGCTCAGAACGGGGGTGCTGGAGAAACCCCACTGATAGATTAAGGGGAGCATCAAGCCTGGAGCAGGCACTCACAGAGGCTCTGATGGACCATGCTATGTGGTCACCCCAGCCTTACCCTCTCCAGCAGCCTGCGCAGGACACGGCAGCTCCCCTCGGTGAAGGCACAGAGGTCGAGCACATCTCCCCAGCCGAAGGGCTGCTGCTTGCTCCTCTTCATGCACTCGCTGAGGATGGAGCTGACAAACTGGCAGCTCTCAGCCAGCACCAGGAGGAACCGCTCGGAGACTGCTGCCACGTCCCCGAGAGCTGCTGCAGCCTGGGAGAAGAGCGGCTCTGCCGGGCAAGCATCATCAGCCAGAGCCTGGCTCAGCTGCACCCCGGTCTCCAGCAGGGCCAGGGGGGCACCGAAGGACTTTGAGCTGCTGCTGGCCCCCAGGAAGCTCCTTGCTTCCTTCACTGCCTTCTTGGCCTCCCTGTAGCAGCTGCACCTGCAGAGGTGCCGGCACTGCTCCTGGGTGAGCTCGAAGAAGCAGAGGCATTGCTGGAGGCTTGGGGGCTCCGTCGCTTCCTTCCTCAGCACTGCGAGCAAGAAGTCCCCGAGCTGCTGGGCAAGGAAAGCTGAGGATGGCTCCCGCTGGGCCTCATACAAGGCAGCGGCAGCAGCAGCCTGCTGGGCTGTCTGGGAGGTGAAGAAGGGAGGCTGCAGCGGGGACAACGTCTCCCCATCCTCCTCCAGCAGCAGGAGGAAGCGCAGGGCTCGCAGGCGGACCAAGAGGACAGCTTGAGCCTCTTCCTGCGGCCAGTGGGGCTCGGCCAGGGAGGAGCCCCCTCTCCAGAGCAAGCCGAAGCTGCTGTAGGCGATGGCCTTGAAGTCCTTGGAAGGCTCCTGGCCCGGGCGGGAGGCCAGGAGCCGGGCTCGGAGGAGCTCGGCCGCCCTCCAGCAGGCCCCGCCGGCCCGGCCGGCCGTGTTCCGCAGGAGGTGGTACAGGATCTTCTCCAGGTAGAGGGGCGCAGGCTGCGGCACGGCGCTCACGTAGCCCTGGCACGCGGCCTCGGCCACGCTCAGCAGCCTGCCCGTGCTGCCCGGGCTGCCGCCGGCCTTGCCCATCTGCTCCACGCACGCCCGCAGCACCCGGTCGCAGGTCTGGCTCCGCCGCAGCCACGAGGCCGGCCTGGCACCGGAGGCATCGCCCAGGGCTGGCGAGAGGCATTCCTAGGGATGGGGATGGGGTCAGAGCCCAGCACAGGGCAGCCCCAGGGAGGGTTCTCCCCTCCACAGCTCCAGCAGCAGAGCACCCTGGCCCCCCGGCTCACCCAGAGCTGGGCCAGCAGCTCCTCGATGCCCTCCCAGTCGTCCCTCGGGGCAGCAGGATCAGCTCCTTTGAGGTGCTTCATTCCTGACACCAGGCCGGCGGCTCGGGGGGGGCTGGAGAAGGACAGGCAGGGAAAGGAGTAGGACCCCCATGACTCTCAGACCCCCCCACCCCAGGCAAGCCCAGCCCCACTCCCCAGTGCTTGCAGCCTCCTTTCCTCATTCTCTGGCCCTCACGGAGCAACCAGCCCCTTGGGGGAGGGGGCCTCAGCTCCCCCCAGCCCTATTCACAGACCTTTGGGGGTGCTCAGCTCTCCCCCACCCCCTCTCAGACCCCCTTGGGGAAGCTCAGCTCCCCCCAGCCTCACCCACAGCCCTTTGGGGGGGGGGGGGTGAGCTCAGATCCCTCCATCCCCTCTCACAGCCCCTTGGGGGGTCCTCAGCTCCCCCCAGCCCCATTCACAGCCCCTTGGGGGGGGCTCAGCTCCCTCCCAAACCCCCTTGGGGACCTCAGATCCCCCCAGCCGCACTCACAGCCCTTGGGGGGGGGAAGCTCAGATCCCTCCATCCCCTCTCACAGCCCCTTGGGGGTGCTCAGCTCCCCCAGCCCCATTCACAGCCCTTTGGGGGGGCTCAGCTCCCCCCAGCCCCTCTCAAATCTCCCGGGGGACCCTCAGCTCCCCCCCCAGCCCCATTCACAGCCCTTTGGGGGGGGCTCAGCTCCCCCCCAGCCCCTCTCAAATCGCCCTGGGGACCCTCAGCTCTCCCCAGCCCCACTCACAGACCCTTGGGGGCAGGGGCTCAGGTCCCCCCCAGCCCCTCTCAAACCACTTTGGGGACCTCAGGTTCCCCCAGCCCCATTCACAGCCCCTTGGGGGTCCCCAGCTCATCCTCAGCCCCTCTCAAAACCCCTTGGGGAAGCTCAGCTCCCCCCAGCCCTTTGCGGGGGGGGAACACAGAACCCTCCATCCCCTCTCAAGCCCCCTTGGGGGTCCTCAGCTCCCCCCCAGCCCCATTCACAGCCCTTTGGGGGCCCTCAGCTCCCCCCAGCCCCATTCACAGCCCTTTGGGGGCCCTCAGCTCCCCCCCAGCCCCATTCACAGCCCCTTGGGGGCCCTCAGCTCCCCCCAGCCCCATTCACAGCCCTTTGGGGGGTCCTCAGCTCCCCCCAGCCCCATTCACAGCCCTTTGGGGGCCCTCAGCTCCCCCCAGCCCCATTCACAGCCCTTTGGGGGCCCTCAGCTGCCTTCATCCCCTCTCACAGCCCCTTGGGGGGGGGTGTCTCAGCTACCCCCAGCCCCTCTGAAACCCCCTTGGGGGCCCTCAGCTCCCTCCCCCATTCTCAAATCCCCTTTGGGGGGGCTCAGCTCCCTCCCAGCCCCTCAGGGGGCACCGCAGCTCCCCCCCCCGGGCCCTCACCCGCTCCCGCTCCGCCGCCGCCGGGTGTAGGCCGCGCCGCGCGCCCTGTTCAAACCACGGCCGCAGCCAATCAGCGCGCGGCTCCCCCCCGCGCGGGGCACGCCGGGAGTTGTAGTCCAGGCTCGGGCTCACGCACGCGTCGCCGCCGGGTACATGGGGGGGGGGGGGGGGCGAGGGACAGGAGGACCCCGGGGTGACCCCAGGGTGCTGGGGGAGGGTGTTGGGGGTGTCTTGGGGCTGGGGGCTCAGGATGGGGTGGGGGGGCCGGATGGGGAGGGTGAAGTCCTCAGGTCAGGGAGTGGGGCTGGGGCGGGGCATTTGGGGATATTTGGGGTGTTTTTAGGGTCATGGAATGATTTGGGTTGGAAACGACTTTTAAGATCAGTCCTTAAGAGATTTAAGGCTCCTGGAAGACCTTAGAGCAGCTCCAGAGCCTAAAGGGGCTGCAGGAAACCTGGATATGGGCTTTGGACAAGGGCCTGTCGGGATAGGCCAAGGGGAATGGCTTGAACCTGCCAGAGGGGAGGCTGAGATGAGCTCTTAGGCAGAAGCTCTTCCCTGTGAGGGAAGGGTTATGAACTGCCAAGAGAAGCTGTGGCTGCCCCATCCCTGGCAGGGTTCAAGGCCAGGTTGGACATGGGCTTGGAGCAAGCTGCACCAGTGGAAGGTGTCCCTGCCCATGGCAGGGGGTGGAACTGGGTGAGCTTTGAGGTCCCTTCAGCCCAAACCAGTCTAGGGTCCTATGATCTCCCCAAGCCTGCACCCCTATTCTGCGCCACAGCATCCCCATGGCAGCTCTGGGCAAAGGTGACTCCTGCGTGGTTGGACCCATCCCTGGTGTGATGAGACCTTTTTTTTTACACCAAATCACTCAGAATCCATCTTTTCACTCAAAAGGACCCAGGAGGACTGTAGCTGGGGCACTCGGGCTGTGCTGGTCCCATGGCAGCTGCTCCTTGTCCCCATCACTGAACTGTCAGCCCACCAAGGCTGCAGCCTGCCATTGCCCTGTCATTGTCCCACCATTGCTCCATTATTGCCCTGTTACTGCCTCTCCATTGCCCTCTTACTGCTCCGCTATTGCCCCACCATTGCCCTATTATTGCCCCACCATTGCCCCATTATTGCCTTGTTATTGCTCTGCTATTGCCCCCTTACTGCCCCACCATTGTCCTGCCATTGCCCTGCTATTGGCCCACAATTGCCCCATTATTGCCCTGCCATTGCCCTGATATTGGCCCACAATTGCCCCATTATTGCCCTGCCATTGCTCCATTAGTGCTTGAGCATTGCCCTGCTATTGCCCCTCTGTTGCCCCATTGCCCTGCTATTGCCCCATCATTGCTCCCCATTACCCTGATATTACCCTGCTGCTGCCCCATTATTGTCCCACAACTGCCCCATTATTACTCTGCCATTGTCCCTTCATTGCCCCATTATTGCCCCATCTTTGCCCCACCATTGAGCCGCTATTGCCCCTCCGTTGCATCACCGTTGTACTTCTATTGCTCCACTATTGCTCCACTGTTGTACTTCCATTGCCCCACTGTTGTACTTCCATTGCCCCACTATGGCTCCTCCATTGCCACACTATTTCCCCACTATTGCCCCTCCATTGCCCCACCACTGCCCTGCTATTGCCCCTTCATTGCCACCCCATTGTCCTGCTATTGCCCCTCTTTTGCCCCGCTATTGCCCCTCTATTGCCCCACTGTTGTACTTCTATTGCCCCACTATGGCTCCTCCATTGCCACACTATTTCCCCACTATTGTCCCTCCATTGCCCCACCACTGCCCTGCTATTGCCCCTTCATTGCCACCCCATTGTCCTGCTATTGCCCCTCTTTTGCCCCGCTATTGCCCCTCTTTTGCCCCACTATTGCCCCTCCATCGCCCCTTTATTGCCCCACTACAGATCGGCGCATGCGCGATCGGTCCCCCCCCCCCGTCCCCCCCCCCCCGGAACCTTCCTTCCCCGGAACGCTTGTTCTCGCGTCCGGTGCTCGCCCGGGGTGCGCGCGAGGAGCAGCTCGAAGATGGCGGCGCCCATAGGCGAGGGCTCTCCCGGCCCGGAGCCCGGCGCTGCTCCCTACGGCAACTTCCCCAACTACTCCCGGTTCCACCCGCCCGAGGGCCGCGTCCGCCTCCTGCCCCGCGGCCTCCTGCGGAGCCTCTTCCCCGCGCCCAAGCGCCCGCTGCTGGGGCTCGATGTGGGCTGCAACTCGGGGGTAAGGGGCCGGCGGCGGGCGGGTGGGCCGCGGCCGTGGGGCTGGGGGGGAGAGCGGGAAGGGCGGAGCAGCGGCTGCCGTGGTGGCGGGCAGTGGGGCAGAATGTGCCACTGCGTGGGGTATTGGGGTAGGAGGTGCCCCTGCTTGGGGTAGGATGTGCCCCTGCTTGGGGCAGGATGTGCCCCTGCTTGGGGCAGAATGTGCCACTGCGTGGGGTATTGGGGTAGGAGGTGCCCCTGCGTGGGGTAGGATGTGCCCCTGCTTGGGGTATTGGGGTAGGAGGTGCCCCTGCGTGGGGTATTGGGGTAGGAGGTGCCCCTGCGTGGGGTAGGATGTGCCCCTGCTTGGGGTAGGATGTGCCCCTGCTTGGGGTATTGGGGTAGGAGGTGCCCTTGCGTGGGGTATTGGGGTAGGATGTGCCCCTGTGTGGGATATTGGGGTAGGATGTGCCCCTGCGTGGGGTAGGATGTGCCCCTGCTTGGGGTATTGGGGTAGGAGGTGCCCTTGCGTGGGGTATTGGGGTAGGATGTGCCCCTGTGTGGGGTATTGGGGTAGGATGTGCCCCTGCGTGGGGTAGGATGTGCCCTTGCGTGGGGTAGTGGGGTAGGATGTGCCCCTGCTTGGGGTAGGAGGTGCCCCTGTGTGGGGTATTGGGGTAGGAGGTGCCCCTGCGTGGGGTATTGGGGTAGGATGTGCCCCTGCGTGGGGTATTGGGGTAGGATGTGCCCCTGCGTGGGGTATTGGGGTAGGATGTGCCCCTGCGTGGGGTATTGGGGTAGGATGTGCCCCTGCGTGGGGTAGTGGGGTAGGATGTGCCCCTCCTTGGGGTATTGGGGTAGGATGTGCCCCTGCATGGGGACTGTAGCGCTAGGACAAGGGGTGATGGCTTCAGACTGAAGCAGGGACGTTCAGGTTGGAGATAAGGCAGAAGCTCTTCCCTGTGAGGGTGCTGAGGCGCTGGAACAGGGTGCCCAGAGAAGCTGTGGCTGCCCCATCCCTGGCAGTGTTCAAGGCCAGGTTGGACACAGGGGCTTGGAACACCCTGCTCCAGTGGAAGGGCTCCCTGCCCGTGCCAGGGGGTTGGGACTGGATGAGCTTTGAGGTCCTTTCCACCCCAAACCATTTCATGATCCATGTGTGGGAAGCCTCCTGGCAGGTCTTTGAGAGGAGGCTGAAGGCTGGGATGAGGTGGAGCTGCTTGGGTTCTGCGTTGGTTTAGGAGCTGTGCTGTGGGTCTGGCCTCTTTGCACTGAGGCCCTGCAGTGCTCTGGACTGCTGCCCTAAGAGCAGGCCTGAGGCTGCAGAGCATCCCTGTGTGTTCTGTGGGGTCACATCACTGGTCCACGAGCCACAAGTGGGAGCTGGAGCCCTGGTTCTGCATCAGAGCTTGTAAATCTCCTCCAATCTCACGTCTGAAAGCTAGTTTTCTTTACCTGGTTCTGCTCTTTTGGGCTGGTGGCTTGCCCTCAGGGCGCACTTCATTGTGTGGTGATTCCGAGGTGCCTGTGCAGCTCTGGTGCGTGGTGGTTCAGAGGTGCAGCTCTGGTGCGTGGTGGTTCAGAGGTGCAGCTCTGGTGCGTGGTGGTTCAGAGGTGCAGCTCTGGTGCGTGGTGGTTCAGAGGTGCAGCTCTGGTGTGTGCTGGTGCAGTGTTGAACTGGGTCTGAAGATACTCTTTCCCCTTATTAGGGGGGAATTAATTTCCTTAAAGGAAACTTTATCCATGTGTGAATTAAGTGCCTGAGAAATCCAGATTCATTCAGAATGCTATTGCAGCTTGGCTGGGGACAGGAGCTCTGCTGTTTCCGTGCCCTCCCTCCCTCCCTGAGGCGTCAGCTAAAGGACAAGTGAAGCTCCTATTGCAGGTGAACTTGTAGAACAGGCCAGGGAAAAGTATTCCCAGCCCAGTTCTTTTGGGATGCGGAGGCTTTGCCGCTAGAGGATGCTCTCTGCCTGCTCCTTTGGGCCGTGCACTCATTCCTGGTGCCATCCAGGACCTTCTCAGATCTCCTTTAGCAACAGATGGATCTGCTTTCTGCTCAGTGGGGCTCTCTGTGGAAGGGAATCCAAAGGGAAGCTCTCGTGTGAATTCTCTCATGCTACATCTAATGGGCAGGGGATGGCTTTGACCTTAGCAGCAGCAGCAAATGGCACCTATTACTCTAAATCAGGCATTAAACAGGGCTCTGAGTGTTACCAGGGAGCCCTGAGGCTCTCCTAGGGAAGCCATTGAAACCCCATGCCCTGGATGGGTTTATCCAGCAAGATTCCTGTTTCTAAACCTCTAGTTTTTGGAGCAGAGCCCCAGGTTTGAGGTGCTGCAGGTTTAGTGCCCATCTCTGGTTGCCTTCCTGGTAGTCAGGGCTCTGTGATGCTCTTGGCTGCAGAGAGGGAGCTTGTTGGTGAGTCTGTTCGGAACTTTGAGGGCAAGCTCCTGCCTCGGTGCTGAGAGAGGGATCCTGCGTGCTGGGAACGTGGTAAGGAAGCAGCGTGGGCCCCGTGAACCACTGTTGTTTTCCTTCCTGCAGGAGCTAAGTGTGGCTCTGTACAGGCATCTCCTGGGCCTTCAGGAGAGCAAAGGCAGCCTGGAGGAGTCTGCAGCTGGGAAGGAGCTGAACCTGCTGTGCTGTGACATTGACCCTGTGCTGATCGAGAGGGCTCAGCAGAGCAGCCCCTTTCCTGCCTCCATATCCTTTGCCAAGCTGGACATCATGGACTCCAGCACCAGGGACTCATTCCTGAGCTCCTACCTGGCCCGGTTTGGCCGCTCCACCTTTGACATTGGTTTTTGCATGTCCGTGACCATGTGGATCCACCTGAATCATGGCGACAGGGGCCTGGTGGAGTTCCTGGCCTTCCTCTCCTCCGTGTGCACGTACCTGCTGATGGAGCCCCAGCCCTGGAAGTGCTACAGGGCGGCCGCCCGGCGCCTGCGCAGGCTGGGCCGCAGCGACTTTGACCACTTCCGAGCCCTTGCCATCAACGGGGACATGGTGGAGAGGATCACCCAGATCCTGACCAAGGACTGCGCCATGGAGCTGGTCTGCTGCTTCGGGAGCACCTCCTGGGACAGAAGCCTCTTGCTTTTTAAATCGAGTGCCTCAGATCCTGAGGGCAGAGGTCCTGGTCTGAAGAAGGAGGCTCTGGAGCAGGAGCAGTGACTGTAAATGGCCTCTCACATGGATGAATTCATAGGCAAGGAGGTGCTTGCTGTTCACAGAGGCAGGTCTAGGACTTCCTTAAATCCCTAATGGACCTGGGGAGAAGAGAGAACATGCCAGGAGCATCTCAGGGAAAGGGGGAGCATTTCTGTTGCGCTGTTTGTTCTGCTTCTTGCCATGTTTCCTGTATAAAATACTCTTGGAAAACACATAACCTGGCTCCCCAGCTGGGAACAAGGGAATTGAATCACTTGGGAGGGTCAACAGGATGCCCAGAGTGGTGGTGATGGATGTCCCATCCCTGGAACCATTCCAGGCCAGGTTGGACAAGGGCTTGGAGCAAGCTGCTCTAGTGGAAGGTGTCCCTGCCCATGGCAGGGAGTTGGAACTGGGAGCTTTAAGGTCCCTCCCATCCCAAACCAGTGGGATTCTACGGTATTGGTCCGGCTGTGGTGAATGCATCAAAGCAGATTGGGCTTCCCTGGTTGACAGAGCGTGATCTCTCTGTGGAGTGAGGGATTGCTATGGCAGGGCCTGTACTTGTGTGTGTACCACAGTGAGTGCTTTGTGTGTAATAGCCTTGAAATAAAGAACTCAATGTTACTGTAAATCCTGTGTTGGGTTTTTGACCTTTCCTTTTGGTTGCTGGTTTCGGTGCCTGAGCTGTCCCAGGTAACCAGGTTTTATCATTGTGCTGAACTTCCAGGCTCAGATAAAGGCTTTGCTAAGCTCGAGGTTATGTTTGGTGAAGGTTAAAGTTTTACAGCTTCCCCTGGGTTGTGGGTTTGTCTGTTTGCTGTTTCCTTCAGTAGAATCCAGGAAGAAGGAGAACAGGAGCAAAAATCTCTTATTTTAACTTCATTTCCCTTGGGTTAATATCTCTACGGGCTTTATTCATACCCTGGGTTTGTTAGCTCTGCTGGCAAGTGGGAGTCACGCTTCTACAGTGTTGTCTAAAGAGATTAACTGTGATGTAGACTACTGTGTGTAGACTGTGACCCAGGTAATAACCGCTGACTCCTACAGACATCGAGGTTCTGCTGCTTCCCGCTGGGAGGTGAGAGGGAAGCCCAGGAATGTGCCGGGTGGAAGTGCTGTGTCACGAGAGCTGGGTGCTGGAGAAGGGCAGGAGAGGGGGAATCTCCTCCAGGAGGAGCTCTTGCCCAGGAGTTTCCCTGTGCAAGGGCAGAGACTTTGGTGGCGTTTTACCTTTCCTTAATGGGACTTCCCTGTTATTTACTCATGATAGTGGAGGAGGAGAAAGCTTTGCTTAAGCACAGTGAGCTCAGGTAAGAGGATGTGTGTTCTGCCTGGCCAGATGACCACTGCTGGCACCCACGGGTAGGTGTGGGATGGATTGTGCGTTCAAAGGGGGCACAGAAAGGCTTTTAAGGCTCTTCATGCCAATGCAGCTGCCCAATGGTATCCTATATAGGAAGTGTTGAGGAGTCCCACCAGAGCTCCTCTGCTTCTCAGCCACACACCGATGTCTTCCCTGGTGGTGAGGGTTCCTCTTCCAAGCCTGGTGTGACTTCATTATCCCTGTGGGAGCGAGGGGAGAACCATTTGGGCATGGATTTCCCTGTGGATTCCCTTTGGGAGTTAAGCACCTCGTCTGACACTGGTTGTAACCCTTGGGTGAGCTCCAGTCACTTGGGGTGTTGCTCCCAGCAGCTCCCCTTTCCTCACTGCTCTTCCCTGTGCTGTGCAGCTGGTGGCACTGGAGCATCGTGCAACCTCCAGCCTCACCCTTGGGCTGCTGCTCTTGGCTCATGGTAGTTGCTGTTTGCTTTGAACTTTGCTATATTCATAAATCAGAGCTGGACTTTGCTGCTCAGTGCTGGGGTTTAAAGGCCTCCGTGGGGGTTCTCAGTTTCCTCTGGGGATTTCCACACTCGCTTTAGGAGGAGTTGCTGGGAAGGTAACAACACACAAGAGGTGGCCCCTGCGCCCATCTAGAGTGACCTTCCCCTTCAGAGAGACCCTGTTCTATGTTCCTCTCACACTGTGGGATGGAGCAGGGTTCTGCTGCTTGTTGAACTATTGTGGGTTGGGTTTTAGTTCTTTTTCCAGCCCTTACACACTGGCCATGTACAGACCTGCAGTGTGTGTGTAAGAGCACGGTGGCTCCTTATCTGCCTCTCTGGTCTGTGCTGTTGAATTGCTCTATCTCTGTGCCCCACTGCCTCAGAAATGGCCCAGCTCCAAAACCAGCTCAGTTTGGCTTTGGCACAGCAGGGGTTTTATTTCTTGTCCTTTGGATGTTGCCCCAAACACAGCTCAAAATAACCTAAGCACAAATCTCCCTGCAGCTCTTGGGTCACTGTAGGGCTCAGATGGAGTCAGGCTCTTTGCAGGCAGGAGAAACCACAATAAACCCCTCTTTCCTTTCCTTTCCAGCTCGCTGCTGCTGCCCTCCAGGAGGCTGTTGGGAGATGAGCTTAGGTGGGAGCCCAGCTCTGTGCACAGTGATGGAGCAGAGGCCGTGGATCTCGGCTGCTTTGCCACGTAAGGCTCTCATCCTTTATTCTCTCTACATTTTGCAGTGTGGCTAAAATGTGCTCCCAGGCCTCCTGGAGGCAGGGCAGAATGAAAGTAAAGCTGAGGGTTAAAGCCAACACTTCTACTCCTTGTTGCTGAGAGCCCTTTGCAGGCAGTTGGTAACTGCTCATCATGTGGCTGGTGGAATGGAGATGCCCTTTGCTGGCTGAGTGCTGTGGTGGTCACCCTTGTGGAGCTCGGGGCACTTGGATTAAGGGAAGGCCTCTGTACTGACAGTGCTGCTTGCTCATCTCCTGCATGACCCAAGGATGGGGCTGACTTGGGGTGTTTGCTGCTGATAATGCCAGGGAGACACAACTTCTCTGGGTATGCAGAGAGAAGGCTGTGCTCCCACTGCTCTCCTGAAGCACATGGCATCAGGCTGTGCTCATGTGTAGGTCCTGGCTCACACATTGTGTGCTGTGCCATTCATGTTGTGTGCTTCCCTGAGCACTGGAGGGTTAGTTCAGAGATCCTCCTTGTTCTTTCCTACCCTTAAAGCTCCAGAGCTGTGCTTGCCCACAGGAGCCTGCTAAATTCAATGCCTGCACAGGGCACGTGTAGCTGAGCAATTCCAAATGGAGCCAGAGTGTTGCAGGGCACTCGTGTCAAGCTGGTGGCCTGTCCCATCCAGCAAGCAAGGATGTCTGTGTGAGTAGAGTTCCCATGCTCTGTGGGTTGGGGTTGCAGCTGGACTCCTCAGTTCTTCCAGCCATGGAATGAGCTTGATAACCACCCACACTGGGGAGGTTTCTGCTGGGGACTATTAGCTGTGTGTTTGCACAGCACTTTTGAGAGTGAAATCCAGAGCTGAGCTATATCATCAGCTGTGAGCTGTGCCTCTGCTCATGTAATCACTGCAGCACTTCGGGTAGTAATTAGGTCCCATACCTTCAAAGTGTTCTGACTAACCAAGCCTCACGCCACTGCTGTGTAGCAACTCACAGCTCACTCTGCCCCTTCCCTGCATGGAAAAAGGTGAAGCATCGAGTTGTGTGTAAGCCAGCATCAAAGTTTGGGGGTGAGAACTTGGGAGATTCCAGTTTCCAGCTGGTTCTGCAGTTGCTTCTAGCTCTTGTGGGAAGTAAGATTTAGATGGAGTCAATGAGAGCTCCTGGTTTTACTATTCTTTTAAGTTCTTAACTTGAGCTTTTGCTTATTTTTAGAGCCAGTTGCTGCTTCCTGCATTCTTGGGCTGGATGAGTACAAGGGATGCACTCAGTGGGGAAGAGTTTAGTGTGTAAAATTGCTGCTCTTGCACTGCATTTACCACGTTAACGTTGACAGCTGCCTGAGCAATGGCTGCTGTGAGCAGCTCTCCCTGCTGGGTGCTTCCCTCTCACACACACAAGCACCGAGAGCCTCACAGACACTGCTCATCAGCATTTCTAAAGGGTGACCTGGTCTAAAAATGCTTCAATTCAGCTTTCCCCAGAGCGTGTGACCAGCCCAAGAGTGGAGGAACCAAGGTGAGGAACAGAGAGTTGGCAGCAACGTGTCTGCACCCATAAGCAGCTTCCTCTAGCTGGAACCCAGCAACTTGTCCCTACAGGCTTCTATGGCAGAGGCTGCAGATCTTCGGATTTCCTTTGCTCAGCTGAGGGCAAGTTCCTTCTTGTTCTTCCTGGCACTTTGCTGCCTGTGAATTAAAGGAGACAAGTGAGAGGTGTCCACCCATGGAAACATGGGCAGCTGCTTCTGGCAGTGTGGAGACCTGGGAAAGGAACAGCCACAAACCAAACACCCGAGGTCTGTTTGATCCCAGGGCTCAGCCAGTTCTCTTGCCAAGTCTGGATGCATTCAGTGGGGTGCTGGTGGGAGGAAAGAGCCCTTGTGGCAGAGCTGGGGGGCTCGGTGGGAAAAGTGACCACAGCCCAAGGTGTGAGTCTGAGTTTCACTGTGGACAAGTGCTGAAGGCTGGGCCTGTTTGGCTTTGGAAGTGAGGAGTCAGGGGAGGTCAGAGGGGATCAAAAGGATGAGCTGTTCCCTTCCTTACATTGGTTATGGAAGTGGAGGCAGCTGAGCCGTGTACACTGAGGTTTGATGGCTGGGGGGGAATGGTCCCTTCAGGTCTCTCTGGACCTAGTGGAGAAGCTGCGAGACAGACAAGCAGTGTGTAGGAAGTCTGTCCTGCCATTGCATTCCCTCTTTGGTCTTCAGGGTTTTGTTGCAGGCACCTCAGTTTTCCCATCAGGTCCACTTGTGTTACCCTGGTGGTTTCCCACAGGCCCTGGAGCAGGAATCCCTTGGAGCACTATGGGCAGAAGCTTTGCCACTGGTTCTCTTATCGATCAAGCTGAGTTTCTTGCCTTTCATTATGTGGGGCTGTCCCTTAGGGCTGGGCCACCCATTAGGTTTGGACTCCAAAGGGGTCTCCAGTTTGATGAGGATGGCTTGGGGTCATTCCCTGGGGCTGGGATATGCTCAGAACGCTCTGACAGAACTGCGGGTGCTTCCTCATGTCTGAAAGACCTTTGCTGGAGGTTGGAAGTGTGGGTTCCTATCTCAGGCTGCAGACCCTGGCCAAGCTGCTCCCTTCCTTGGGCCTCTC